CATTGAGGGAATTTCACTGTTGATTTAATTAAGGAAGCATGAACTACGTCTCGGTGCATCCTGGTGTCTAGTGTCTTGATCAGTTTATGAATCAGGGTCAAGTGCCAAGTTTAGTTATTTATTCAAAAAATAGGTGGATGAACGCTCACTTAGGGTGTGCACCTAAAGTCTAGGAATTTATGCTGAGAATTAGGTGGATGGGTTCTCACCTAAGGTGTGCTCCTAAACTCTAGGAAGACTATGCTGAGGATTAGGTGAATGAACGTTCACTTAAGATGTGCTCCTAAAATCTAGGAAGACCATGCCGAGGATTAGGTGGATGAACTCTCACCTAGGGTGTGCTTCTAAAGTGTAGGGTGTAGGAAGCCTAAACCAAGCCTAAACCGAGGACTAGGTGAATGGGCTCTCACCTAGGGTGTGCTTCTAAATTGTAGAAAACCTATGCTGAGAATTAAGTGGATGGACTCTCACCTAGGGCATGCTCCTAAAGTTTAGGAAACCTATGCTGAGAATTAGGTGGATAAAGTCTCACCTAGGGTGTACTCCTAAAATCTAGGAAGTCTATGCTGAGGACTAGGTGGATGGGCTCTCACCTAGGGTGTGTGCTTAAAGTCTAGGAGGTCTACACTGAGGACTAGGTGGATGAACTCTCACCTAAGGTGTGCTCATAAAACTTTAGGAAGTCTACTCTTTAACTTATGCTCTTTAACTTATGCTAACTTATGCTTAAGGTGATTTAAGTTTTTCTATATCTTCCAATTAATTAAATCATCAATTCCCATCTTTATAACTTAACCATGTATAAAGAAGTAAAACAAAAGAAAGATGAAGTAGACCCACTTTCAAAACTAGTAAATTAAAAAACGGAGAAAACAATAATTGAATCGGCCTAAAAACATTCAAACTTTTTTTAAAATTGTAACTAAATCGGCTCTCAAGAAGAGTGTTTAAATCTGCTCCAAGACAGTGTTTTGGTCGGCCCAAAATAGCATTTAAATAGTTCAAATCATCATGTAAATTATTGCTTAAATGATGCCCAAAACCTTGCCAAAACGGTGCATAAACAACCCCGAAATGATGTTTTTAACGCCTCCAAAACAGCATTAAAACAGTGTCAAAATGGTGTTCATAATATGCCTTTGATGTCTCCAAAGTAGTGAATAAAACAATCCCAAAACATCCCAAAATAATGTGCGTTTAAATTGTGACCAAATCTCCCTAAAAATGTTTAAAGAGTTGCAGCGCAACCAACCTAGACTAGTCCCAAAACAGTGAGAAAACCTTCCTAAAAAGATACCAAAAAAAATTGCAGCGAAACCAGTCTGAACTCGTCCCAAAATAACCCTCAAACATCACTTAAATTGCCTCAAACAACTTTTTTTTTTAATGGACCCAAACAACACTTGTAGAAACTCCAAAACAGTGAAATCGAAGAGCCAAAACAATATTATTTAGTGCTTCCAAGCAGCAACAATATGACTCGAATACGACAACATTTAACTCTTCCCAACAGCAGAAATACAGGACAAACAAAATAACATTTTATTTTTCTAAGACCACAAGTTTATAAGACTTAAAACAGCATCTATGTCATTCCGAAAATTTCAATTCAGCAAGTAGACATACAAATACTGAAGCTTATGTGTATTGTAAAAGATAGGTAAATGCATTGTCTTATTGCAAAATAAAATATTTGAGTGTTATGCATACTCATGTTAAAGTTTGAGGCAATAGACACATAAAAGTACGTGAATTGAGTGGATGTGTATGCAAATCTTTCTAACTCCTAGATGGCATGTATTGTATAAATAAAATGAGCAGTATAGAAATAAAACAAGACTTCGTTACCCAATTACTGTAATTACTGAGGCCTAAAGAAGTTCAGTGTTCCTCCTACTCGTCAGAGTGTGGCAGAGTTTCGAAAGAGAACGAAGGTGTTCTGTCGAGAGCAGATGGAGGCGAATCAAACATATACGGGAGGGCTAAGCGGCTTCGTGCATAAAAGAGGCGAGCAGCGATTTGGATATGGACGAGGGGCGAGCGGGGCTTCGATCGAGACAAGAGAGGGCGAGCGAGAGTGGGATCGAGCGATCTCGACGCAGGAGGGCATGCGGGGGGGTCTGGCGAGGGGCTTCGGTGCGGCGGAGGGCGAAGCAGGCGTTTCAATCAGTGGAGGGAGCGAGCAGGAGCTTCGGCTAGAGCTGCTGCAGAGGAGGAAGTCGTTCGGTTCGCAGAGCGGGGGGGGCGAGGCGAGCAGAAGTTTTGGTCGGTTGGGGGAGTCGAGCGAGGCCCGGTGCTTTGATCGTCGGTGGAGGAAGAGAGGAGACGGGGTCGAGCGGGATGTCTCGTTCAATGTCGCAGGGGGTCTTCGGCGAGAGCCTCAATCAAGTCGCAGAGGAGCGGGCGAGCTGAGGAGGAAGAAAAGGAAGCGAGATTTTCAATTCAATGCAGGGGAAGGGGGGGTCGATCGCACACGAGCAGGAAGTCTGGAGGCGGGGATCGAGCGTGTTAGAGGGAGGCGGGAGGAGAGCGAGTCTCGGTGCGTGAGGCAGAGAGGGGGAGAAGGCGAGCGGAGGAGTGCGATCGAGCAGGGCCAACCAGGGAGGAGCAGATGAACAGGAGCTCGGGAGAGGCAAAGGAGGAAGATTCCGGAAGAAGAAGACGATCCTTTTAGAATTTGAGCGGGGGAGCCGTTATGCTAAAACTTTGGCGGGGACTTAATTAGTTTCCGTTTAGGAGCAGATTCAAAAGGAAAGTCTTTAACTTTCAATTAAAATGAGATTAAACGTCTATTTGAAAATTTGATCAAATTTGATCAAATTTGAAGTTCAAAAATTTAAAATTCAAAATGTTTAACCCTCGGTCAGCCCGAGTCCGGCCCGAATCAAACCCGAGATGAACCTAGGTTGAGCCCGGGCCCGCTCCTGCTAATGTGCATCGATTTTCGTGTTATTTGCTTGCGTACGAAACCATAATGATATGGGTGTCATTCCTAGCTAAAGTTGACGTTCCGGACGCGTTGGAGCAGTCGTTTCATCATCCGGGGTCGTCCGGCCAAGTTTGCCGTCGGGCGAGTCGATTCAAGCAAAATCGTGTGTGGTGCAACGAGTGCGTTGCTGAGTCACCGAGGGTTCACCTAAGGTTGTTTGATCCTATAGGAACTCAATTTCGAGCTCTCTACATGTTGGTCTTTGGCCCTTGAAACTAAAAGTTGAGTGCTTGGAACCACTCATGCGAGTTCTTCACAAAAATGAGTCAAGAAGTGACTTGAAGTTCTACGGGAGGTGGGCTCCATTGCTAGTCCGCTAGAATGGTCAATAAGAACTCCTAAAGCTAGATCCTAGGTTCTAAGAGTAGGAGACTAAGACCTCACTAAAAATGAGATCAACAACCTAATACATATGTATACATACAAACATCGCAAATGATTAATCACAAATCAAATCTTATATTGAATCTCAATATACCACTCTATGTCCGAAAGTAAAAATCACTTTCTTTGGATTCTATATTATGCTATCTACGCATTAATTCTATATTATATTTTTATTCTAACAAATTATCTTAAGAATTAATATAATTATCCTAGAAAATTTCATAAACTATATTCCCCCTCCCCAACCCACTACCCACAACACACACACATATACACACAACTCCCTTCCCCTTTTTTGTTTTCATTCTCATTTCTATATTAATCCATAAATTTCATGAGAGAATAGAAAGAATTTGTCATATAAAAAAGGATTTGCAAAGAACTATTAGTAAAGATTATCAACAAAGATCTGGAATTGACTATTAGTGCAAGTAAACCTTAAGGCATTTGTTTGCTTTGGAGATAAAAAGCATGATTCGAAAACAAAGAATTTAGTAAACTCTGGCCTTTTGTTGGGTGAGGTGAGAAAATAATATTGGTTTTAAGTAATACTAAAACCATCAAACTCTTTGAAATATGATTATTTCAATTACAAGTAAAAAAATAGTTAGCACAAAATCATAATTTTCTAAGAACATGTAGCCAAATGAGTCATTACAATAGAAGAATGTAAAAATCATGTTAACAAGTAAACAATAACTGAGCATTTAATCGGGCTTTTACTTAGATATTGATTGACTAGAAAACCTGTTCGTGATTCTATTATATGAAGCTAAGTAAATTCAAAAACAAAAATGTATGATTAGATCTGGTATGGGCTTATTTGTTAAAAAGGCTGAGCTTCAAAAATTATTAAAATATTGCTTAGTAGCTAGACAAACAATTAGAGACAAAGTAACAACTATGTTGGTCTATTTCATGTGAAGTCATCAAAATAAGCATTCTAATTAAGAAATGAAATATGTAAGGTTCGTAACAAAACACCAAAAATGAATCTTGCAAAAAATTGTTTAAATCTACTTTAGGACCACAATATGGATATCAACTAATTTTTTAAACTTTGGACATCCAAGTATTCCTAATTTAAATTTAAACATTAATGTCTGTTCTCCTTATGGTTTAGATCACCATGTATTGTGCAGTGACTGGGAGAGAATATGTGAGACTCATTACAATCAAATAAAGTGAGCCTAAAAATCAAACTATAAAGAAAACTCATTCTTTGAAAGCAACAAGTTTGATGATAAATTTAGATAACAAATGTAGTGTACAATCCATCAGTAACCAGCTCAATTAGAATGATTTATGAACTAAACTCTGCAGTGTCTAAATGATCTTAGAATCAAATACGGGAAATGGTCAATCAAATAACCTATAATATAGAGTTAGGCATCAAAGAGATTGTGTTTGCTGAATTTTTTTGCAATACAACATGACTTCGTATGGCTATAAGTTGCTGACAGTCAAGAAAAATGTGAAGGGAGAGAGAGAGAGAGAGAGAGAGAGAGAGAGAGAGAGGAGGAGAGAGGAGCATCTATCCGCAGGAATAAAATTTATCCAAGGATCACAACACAAAATTTTGTCAGCTTAACAGCAATAAAGCAATACCACAGTTTGTTATTCGGAGGATAAAATCTTTAAGAAGAAAATATTTATGGAGTTTTACAGGCAAAAAGCATAAAATGGTACACAATGACTGAAAAAATATAATAGTTCCTTTCATTACAAAATATATATATATATATATATATAAAATAATTAACATACCATTCCATCATGAACAGCATCTAATGTGAGGCCCTTATACAGCACACTCAAACGTAATGATAACCTGATCCTTTTTCTTCCTTTTTCTTCCACCTTATCATCGCCAACTTCCATAACCCTACAAGCAACGAGTTTCCCGACATTGAATGTTTTAGGGAGTATAGATGGCACCTGAGAAAACAGAGGAATTTGATCGTTATAGCTTATCTTAAGCTAATTGAGAATGATGGCTGATAATTTTTTTATAGAAGATAAGGAAGCTATAGTTTCTTGAAAGTTAAGCATACTGATGGTTTTCATAAATGATAAAAGCATGCGATGAGTAGAAATGTCAGCAATGGTAAGGAAACTTTTTTTAAAGAAACTCTAAATAGTTAAACATAATGAATATGTTATATTGCAGCCAGGTTACTCCAAAAACTGATTTCCTCAACAAAAAAATGTTAAAAAAACATTTGCATATTAATATCTAAAAACTTGTACATGTCGTGACATGAACCAACTCCAATCTTGAATCACAAAATATAGCATCAATGGACGTCAGTTACCTTATCCTCATTGTCCGCAAGCATGTCAGAAGCATCTTCAGCATGAACAAAGCCTCTTAGCTCACCTGGAAGACTGATTACAAGATCTTTCAAATTAACTTCAGTAATCACACCCCAAAGCTTCATTCCAGAAGAAATATTCTGAAAAGAAATGTTGGAAGATGAGAAGCTGCTAGGAGAGCAAAAATTCCTAGCTATTCAAAAAAATCTTAATCTCAAAAAGCACAGAATTGAGCAGCAACTATACAATAATTCATATCATACATCAAGATTAAATTAAGTAAATATAACAGGAAAGATAAATGGTACAAGACACGGTTGCCAGCAGCCTAGCTAAAAAGAAAGAGCACTCATAATGCACACTAATAGTTTTAAATTTAAATTCTTAAGAAGGTAAGACAGTAATTATTGTGACAAATTTCATGCAGCAAGGTAACTAGAAAAACACTACTGAAGGATGTGCTCACATGCTCTTCCTTCCATTTAGGTGGGCTAAGAGATTCATCCAAAAGGTTGACTTTACGGTGTCCATGATGATCTGTGAAAAAAAAAGGCATCAACAAATACATGAATTTCAGAACCAAGCATTCATGATAATCTATAAAACTGCCAAAAATGAATGAAATCGCCCTCTTTTTAAAAGGGAAATTTTCCTGTAATGTTATCCTGATTGGAATTTGAGCATGACAACTCTAAAATCTATTCAATTTCTTCGAAGATGAGGGCATCGCATAACAATCAATCAAAACATACGATAGGCTCGGGTCTAAATAAATCCATCAGCATTGAAATGTGCCCAGATAAAATTTTTGCCATGCCAAAAAAACTCTTCTCTTTTTTTTACGCTAGCAGATCGAAACTAAAGTGTCACTTTGCACTTTGATATCCTCTGAAAATCTACTAATTCTTCGTAACAAGAAATTGTCAACGTAATGCATAAATTTCTAGACATCAGAACCTTCTGCAAATACCCTTGTGAAATAATGGGAAAAAGGATAAAAAAAAAAAATGAAATGAGAATATAACATCGCACACCACCAATCACCCTAAACAATAGCCAAAATAACATTAAAAACATGGTAAACTGATGTGAATTTTACAGTAATAGTGCACGCATGTCTTGCGATATCTGACAATGTAAACCTCCTAAACAGTGAAATCAAGCTTTTTTATAGAAGGAAATAATAGGATTATGAAAATGGTTTTATATTGCTCTAATCGCATTGACATTTTTTAAAAATACTCTATGGGTAGAACATGAAGTGGGAACCTCTCGAGAAAAGAGACTAAAAATGAGAGACAGGGATAGAAAGAAAAACCGCTGTCGGCAGAGAGACCTCGTCGTCGGATGAGCTTCTTTGGACGAAGCAACCGCGAACGTGGAACCGAAGAAGCCAGGGCAGCACGAGCAGGCATGTTTCTCAGAGGATTCTGCACTGACTCTTTGTAGGAGCTGTTTGGTTGCAAAATTTAACCTAAAATCTGCCAAATAACCGAAATTACAACTTCAAATCTTACAGAATCTCAAATCTTTCTCCTCCTCCCTCAAATTCAGCAAATTGTGACATTGCCAGGGTTTAGGGGCTGTTTGATAGTAGTATTTGAGCAGGATTTAGCAATGGCATGTTTGTTAGCCGGTTTTAAGCAAGATTTACGCAGCCTGCCAAACGGCCAAAAAGGCCTCTGTAAATACTTAGCTCCCGTAAATCCCAAAATGGCGCAGATTTGCGATGAATACTGGATTTACTAAATCCTGTGAATTGGCGGATTTAGTAAATCAGGGAGGAACGATGAGGAAGAATGGCGCGAACAGGCTTACCTTCCTCAATGGTTTCTGGTAGGGGAACGGGAGGATGAGTAAGATGGGAGTTTCGGCGGTCTCTGCGAACCGCGATCCCGTCCTCGCCTTCCCAGCTATATATGATGGCGATTGTATCGTGAAGCTTCGTTCATAAGTCGATGGTTATGGGCGAAACGGTAGGGGTAGGGGATTAGCGGGGGTTTTGGGAGGCGGCAGAGGGGGCGGATGGAAGCGAGGGTTTTGCCCAAAATAATATCTCAATGCTGATTAAAAATTTTAAAATATTTATTAAAAAATAAAATAATCTCTTAAAATTTGCGTGTATGTAATGAAATTAGACTTATCCATAAAATTTATTTTCAATGAGGTCACTAAAATTGTATGCTAAATGAATGATTAATGCTAAATGTGAAATTTTAGCTAACAAAAAAATAATGGTACAATTAAAATTTATAAATGTTATTTTATTTTTTACGTGAGTATTGATGTGTGTTAGGAGGTCTCCAATGATAAAGGGTTGAACTAGCATTTTTGAGTTGAACGAAAACTCTAGCACTGTTGACCTTACTTTTAGTTGAGATCTAGAAATTTCTTTAGTAGTCTAGGTCTAGCCATAGGATTTTCCTATAGACTAGTCTTAGAAAACTAGAAAGGGTACCCTCATCATTAGAAACTCAAAACTCTTCTTTTTACTCAACTTGAAGTTCCACATATTGGTCCTAACCTCTAATATTTGATAGGTAAGATCATTATGAGGGAAGCTCGAGAAGAGTTCCTATAGGGCTACTTGGCCTTAGGATTGACCCTGGGTGTTGACTTGGAACTAGGGTACACCATATCTTCACAATACATTGGTTTATGACTCATTCAGAATGGTTCTCT